TGGGAATCCTTGTGTTCCACCTGTCTTGGAAGCATAGTTTTAGTAAACCAGACATATTTAATTCAATTAACTCACTAGGAATCTCCCTGAGCTTGCACTTTCATATAGACAAAATCTTAGCAATGTCCTTAAAGGATGTAATACACCTGCCATTCTCTCTTCTCCATTATTTCTTCAAGCTTTTCTCGGGCTTGAAAAAAAACTTTTAAAAAAAAAGAAACTGGTAGTCACGCGGGAACTTCTCTGCAATCTTTTTCTCTCAGTAAAAGATCCTTTTGAAATAATGCTTGTTTCAGGACTCATGCTTTCCTGAGGAGATAGCTGAGGCAGGACCTTACAATGTTACAACATTATTGAGTAAACAGCGCTATTACCAAATGTTTACATGATGCCTCCAGAGTGCAAGCAGTCCTCCCCTAGTGATCATTTGAAGTTATGATACATCTCTGTAGAGCTATTTACACCCTAATTCTGGAGTTCAACTGGCCACAGACATACCCCCAGTCACACTATCGCATTTTGGATGCTTGGCAACTGGCTTGCACTTACAGCTGTTTGCAACACACCACAGTCACGTAACTATTTTTTCAGCATTTTTTGCTGGATACAAATTCAATAAATAAAATATGAGAAAAGTCATATCAGTAGTCCGATTCAACATAAAGCAGTGCCATATGTATTTACATTGCAAGTGTGTTGCTTCAAAACACCTAAGCCAGGGGTCCCCAATCCCCAATCCGGGGACCGGCACAGGTCCACAGCATGCCAGGCCACGCAAACAAGCGGGATGCAGGCAGCATGTGAAACCATGCCCTATATCCGGTCCACGGCAAAACCTCTCTCCATGGAATTGGTCCCTGATGCCCAAAAGGTTGGGGGCTGCTGGCCCAAGCCACGATTGGGGGGGTGATTGTAGGAGGAGAGATGTATTAGTCTATGGTTGCAAAAAGAAAAAAGAAAAAAAAAAAGAAACTGGTAGTCTCTATTCAGACTAACATTTTATAAAAAGGGGTTATGCTTTTGTGAAATCCTACATCAGTGTAGCCACCCTATGTTCCGATGAAGTAAGCAGTACCTCATTAAAATCTAATAAAATTTGTTAGTTGGAAAAGGGGCGACCGGTTTCCTTCTGATCTGGGGGAGTTAATTCTATCAGTGCAATTTGCTTAAAGAGGCCTGTCAATTGACTCTGTACCAACAGGGCTAGGGACAAGGGCCGAGAAGCATTCTACACTTTTGGTGAATGTCTAGCTTTCTTCTTCTATGGAACCCAGTCGTTCTCATTTGACAAATTAAAGACAAAAAAACTGACCTACAGATAAGGTCCTCAAGTAGTTTAGACCTTCCATTAATCTCAGGTGATGTCATGTTGGAACCTATGATCCAAGGTCAAATTCTTAATTATTAGTTCTGGTCTGAATCAATTCTCCATCAGCTTTGGCATTGGTGCCACCAAAACCATGTCTAAGAATTCCTCAAGAATGACTTTGGGCACCTTAGTCATTGGGCTAACAGTTGCCTAGACAATTCTTTTCTTTTTTTCCTCCCTCATCCCTTTGGATCAGTCTTAACTCCTGCCTGCACAAGTCCCTGCAGCAAGATTTTCAGAAGTAGTTTGCCCTTGCCTGTTTCCTAGGGTTGAGAGAGGGTTAACTGGTCCAAGATCATCCAGTTGGATTTGTGGTGAAGGTGACATTAGAATATGTGGTCTCTTGGTTTCTGCCATTACAATTCTTCACAGACAATTCCTATCCAAGTACAAAAGAAAGTAAACAAATGTCCACAGTGCGTGGTCCTGCCTTGATGCAAATTGCCACTTGTTGATAAGCCTAATGCTGACAGAAGAAATACAGATACATTTGCATCTTAACACAAGCAGACTTAAAATGGATAAGCTGGGAAGAGCTTGCTTATTATTTCTGGGTGGAAAATATATGCAACTCACAAAACAGGATGCCCACTGCTTTGGTTTTGTTATGGCTTAGAGCTCAACAGGTCTGTTGGCTTAAATTTACTATACTCCCACTGGAAGCTTTGAAATGACAGCAATGCACTTTGGCAAGGCACTATATCAGACAACTGTGGTCAGCACACACAACAGTTTATTGCTTGGAAGGCCATACTCAGCCAGTTGTGCACTAAGGAGAACCAGTTCAATTTCAACATCAAGATCAGCGTTTCCCATCTTACTGGTGGCAATGCAATCCAAACTACCTGGAGTGCATCAGGTGAAGGCTGCAATGCCCAGCGTCCTTAAAGTTGATAGGACTGAGTCAAAGATCACTTTGCATGGCACCTCAAGTTTCCTAAATCTAATTTTCTTTGTGGCTGTAATGTTGCACACAAAGGCAGTTTGCTAAGAATGCCAATTGCCTTTTCCCTACACAATGACGCTTATTGTTGAAATGCCTACTGCATTTGACCACAATTAGGAGGAATCCAAAAAGCACATGAAGGCCCTTTCCGTGGTATAGACATTCCAGTTATGACACAGCCTCCTTAGAGAGGCTCATGAGGACAACAGCCCTGGTTTTGGGGCACCAGGCAAAAATTCTTTCATTCACCAATCCCTTGTAGGAAGTTGTCAACCTGACACTCATTTAGAAGCTGTATGTTTTAACTGTGTGGTTTTGTCTTAGCTATTCGTTTGGTTTCTACCATACACTTATCTTCTGATTATACACAGAGAAGGCCTGCTGTATATAAAGCAAGTACCATAAATAAATGCACTGCAAGAAGTAATGTAAATAAAGTCCTTAGCTGTCCAGGCTACTAGTAACATAATTATTAATGCAGAGTCACACTTAAATTGGTAAATCAATCTTCTTCACAGAAGTCTGGCTCCTAGGTGCTGTGCTACATTGATGACACATTAAAATGCTGACTCCAGGTTTACTAGTGGGCTTCCACTGGAACCTCAGACATCCCTTTTAGGGCCTACCAGGCCCCCTGCCTCACCTTTTACCTCTTTTCTGGCTGTCCAGGAAAAGCAAAGCAGGATGAGACCTGGTTAGTTGGTGAATGAGAGAGAATCAAGAAAGATCAAGGTTCAGACATGGATGGGAAGTCCCCCAGAATGCATCCCAGAAGTCAATGACAAACTACTTAGACAGAATTACACAGATGGGTCTCTGGAATCACCAGAAGTTGAACTCAGCTCAGGGGAGACTTTAAGAGAAATTGAAAACTTACAAAGCTGATTTCTTGAATCACCTTTATTTCTAGGAATACCTCTGGACCTCTAAAGCTGTCTTAGAAAATAAAAATGAAGCAGGTGAGCTTTTGTTTGCTGTCAAAAGGTGCCAACCAGCCTAAAAGATTGGAGAACATTGGTGTCATGAACTGCAAGGAGGTATCCCCCAGTTACATCTACCTGGCCTATCAGGATCCGCATATTATGGGTCCCATCTATAAAAAAAGCGTACCAGGAAGAGAGCCTTTTCTGCTGTGTTACCCACCCTATGGAACATCATCCCTCCAAAACTTAATTTGGCCCTGGCCCTCCTGCCTTTGAGAAGGCCCTGAATATATGGCTATGCCACCATGCCTAGAAGTCTGGGTATGGTGAGCTCTTACAATGGCTGTGTTGAGCAGGATAAATTCTGCTGTGATTATGATACTCTGTTTTTTAATTGATTATGGGTTGTTTCCATGTTTGCATATTGCTTTTTACCTTGTTTTTATTGGATTGTTTTTACCTGTTGTGAACCGCCCAGAGTTACTTAGATGAGGAGGATGGCCATACAAATTGAATGAATAAATAAAGTGTTAGGATCAGAGATGAAAGTTTTAAGGTCCCTTCAAATTCTCAGTCACCCATACGATTTGCGAGTGACCTTGAGCCCATTGCTATTTCTCTGGCCACCCTATGTCACAGGACTGTTGTAAACATCTGATGAACTAAGAAGATCAGATGATATCTGGAACTCCCTGAAAAGGCAGGATACTAATGTAACAAATGAGAACACCAGATGAAAACAGCGTGGCGTGATGGCCCTAAGTGGTGTATCATTAACCACTGACTACACAAAATTATGAGAAGAAAATTGTGGATACAGTACAAATCACAACCACCAAAGCAAACTGCATGAAAAGCTGAAAGCAAAACAACTGATTTTTCGGACACATTATTTTTAAAGGGCTATATTTTCATTTTGGAATAGGCCTAAACCAACAGGCAGAAAAAAAATAAAATAATTGTTAACACAGATGGTAAATCGAAGCTACTATCTCTCATACAGAAAACTCAGCCTCAGCAGCTGACAGGATGACTTTGGGCCCCTCATTCTTTCTCAGCCCAACCTATCTCACAATATTGTGGTGGAGGAAACTAAACAAGGGGGCATCATATTACATCCTGATTGAAAGACGGGATATACATCTATTAAATAACAACAAAATAACATGAGTTGCCTAGAGAATCGCTTTTTGTTTTCTTTTTTTCTTCTTCCCACTATGCCTTTGAGTCAGTTTTTGATTTCTGATGACTGCCCTGGACAAGTCCCTGGTTATTTACTAAGCGTTATGGACTAGAAACCTTGATTGTATGATTGACCGTTCAATCATTAGGTGCCATCACTTCTGCGTCTTCCTTTGCAGGGCTGCCTTGGGCACCTGACAATATACAGAAAGCGAGATGCCGAGCAATCCACTAGGGGGCAAGGGAAATGAGAAAAATAAAAATGAAGCCTATAAGCCTATTCGCCTTTAAAGCCTTACCGAACTCAATACAACTTACTTGGGAGTAAAACAACCCCGCAACCCCTTTAAACAGCCCTTTCCCTGCCAAACAAATGCAAGGGGATTGTTCTTCCCAGCGACAGGCTACACAGGCGGGTTGGCAAGGCTGAAACGATATGGGGTACGGGAGAGCACGGCTATACTTCCCTCCCGAGTTTGGAGGGAGCCGGGGACAGACCCAAAAACGGGGAAAAAAGGAGAGCGCGGAGGCCAGTCAACCAGACCGCACGCGCGTTTCTCGCTGCCGATCAGAGGCTCACCCGAGAGTCCGCCGGCGGAGGCGGTGTAAGGCTGCCGCAGTCTCGGCGCCAGGTTCCAGGCGAGGAAGGCCGACAGCCCCGAGATCATCCCAACCACCGAATACGCCAGGCGAATTGCGATCTTCCTAGTCACCGCCATTGCGGAGATGAACCAGCCAGCTAGCCAGCCGGCCGCCCCGGCAGGAGAGATAAAAAGGCAGCGATCCACACCCGGCAGCCTCCGAGCCTCGTCCTGTCTAGGCGCGACGGCTTCGCAGCGACTCCTTGCGAGCAGGGGGACTCAGCGCTCTCAGACCGGCTTGAATTTGCACCCTTTTTACATAGAGGAGAACACGGCCCATGTTATAAATATGCATGAGATTGGGCAATTATTTATTTCGCACTTGAATCCCACCCGTTTTCGAGGGAGCGGCTGAAATTTCCCCTCCTCCCCCTTGCTTCGTTTTCACAACAACCCTGTGTTGTATGTAGGGTACTTTAAGAAGCAAACAATGTTTCAGATTACCCATTGCGTTGAACATGCGTGGGTTTTTTTTGTGTTTTGTTTCTTTGGTTTCATTAACTACGATGCAATGCTTTGAGCTGCAATTTAATTGCTTAAGGTCAAGTGTGTTTTTCAATCTTGGCAACTTTAAGACCTGGCTGGGGAATTCTGAGAGTTGAGGTCTACACATCTTAAAAGTCGTCAAGGTTGAGACACACTGGCTTAAGGTGATATCATACACACAACCTTATACACAATTTCTCCCATTAATGTCTATATAGTGTTCCAGCATATCTAGATCAGTGGTTCTCAACCTTTTTAATGCCGCGACCCCAACCGGTCGTAAGTCGAGGACTAAACCGGTCGTAAGTCGAGGACTAAACCGGTCGTAAGTTGAGGACTTTTCCTGCCCGGGAGCGCCGCGCATGCGTGGTTCCGCCCCCTGTGCCGGCCGAGGCGTAGCTGGCAAGTGGCAGAGACAGAGCAGGCCAACCACCAGCTGGCCCAGCCCAGGGGAGGTAAGGCACCCGCCGGAAAAGGGGGAAAAAATGGCGGACAAAAAAAATGGCGGACAGCCTTGCTTGGCGACCCCCATGAAATGGTCGATCGACCCCAAATGGGGTCCCGACCCACAAGTTGAGAACCACTGTTCTAGATGAATGAATGATCTACAAATGATAAAATTTAAGTCATGCCTTATGGCAAATTATTCTTTAGTCTCTAGAATAACTCATGGACTGGGATAAATTCTGAATGTTGCTTTTAATAGCAAATCTTAAAAAAAAATCCTTGCAAAACATATTAGGTAATATTCTACTTTGGAAAGACTATCTACAAGCAAAGATAATACTGTACACTGTACAATCTTAATATTAAAATGTGATGTATTATCAATTACTAAGTACTCTTATGTGATACTTTACTAAAAAATAAGAGAAAAAAACATGAATGAGACCTTGAACAAAACTTCTCACTGTCTCCTTACCAACTAATAGAAGTTCTAATCTGCAAGTCATCTAGAATCTCCAAACCTGTTTACCTTTTGAACTGGATATTTTGTGGTATCGAAAAGTTCTATGTTCCTAGTTTCCTGCACTTCTGCAAATATCTGTGTTCTTTTCCTGTTTGGCCCTGTTTGGCTCTGTTTCTTTTGGAATACCACATTTGGCTACTATAGGATGAGCTCTGAAATTCTTATGAGAAAGTCCAACTTGGGACAAAAAGAAACACTTTTACAAAATTTATTAAGCTGGCATGAAACATGCTAGCTCCAATAAAGTGCATTGCTCACAAGCATAGACTCAGATTGCACTGCTTGCTGCATTGTTCTTGATCTCCAGTAGCAAAATGCCTTTGGCCAACTCTACCAGAATTCCTTGTGTGTTAGCACTGTGTTGGTGGTGCCAATGAATTATGTCTAACACATTTGGTCTACTTGCTAATCCACTAGGTCAAGGACACTAATGCGCTTATGACAATGGCTAAACCCGGGTGAATTAGTGACTGCTAATTTACTTTATGTGCCTCCAGAAATGTCCAACATACAAAAGAAAGAGTTGACAGAATTTTATTAGCAACACTTCCCCATCCGCTAAAAGATATGGTAGAAGCTGATGATCCTGAAATGATTCTTCTCCTGTTACTGACAGCAAGGAAGATGATTAATTTTAAGAGCAGAACCATCTCTGTTTTCATTCCACCTGAGATTTAGCTTCCATCACTAAATTAATTATATATTAAGAAAGAAAGAAAGAAAGAAAGAAAGCCAATATGGTATAATGGCAAGACCCAGGTTCTAGGCCTCTTTTAAGCACAGAAGCTGGCTGAATGACTTTGGGCCAGTCACTTTCTCTCAGCCCTAATTTGGAAGTCCAAAAAACATCTATTTACCAACCTATACAGGACCAGAATGTAGATTGCATTCTATAAACTTCAGTTAAGAGACCCTCATCCCGCAATAGATTTATTCAGGCTGATGACAATGATGTTGACGATATTAAGAGAAAGACACTTGAACTATTTATTAGGAAGGAAATTGGGTTTCTTCTGGAACAAAAAGTACTCTCTTATATCAGGTACAACCACTATGTTTTCTTCATTCTATTGTGAATGATGATGTAATATTTAAAATATATTTAAATATGTGCTTACAAATGTGTTGCTTTCATTCAGTCTGATCTTCTGAATTAGGCTCTAACTCAAATTATATTCTGACTAATGTGCACTCTATATGCATGACCCAGTTTTGGCTGTCTGAGATGGTGATGCTGAGAATCACCTGCCTTGGACTGGTTACTCTGAAGGTGGTTCATAGACAATATGATACATGGCAGCATTAATTGCATAGTTTGAACGTGTTAATGCACTCCCTACACTCTCGAGCACACACGCGCACAAATCTGCACATATACACAATGAAAACTGCACATATACATATACACATATACACATATACACAATGAAAACTTACAAATAGCTAGGACATGAATTCTCCTATAGGCTACACAAACCGTAGAGTATTTTCGATTGCTTGGTCTTAGGCAGAAGATGTAGCTATCAGACAAAACCTAAAAAGATTTGAAATGGGAGATGGCTAAGGAATCTGATCTGCACGTAATGAAAGAAAAGCTGAATATAATGTGCTACAGATGTAACACACACATGGAACAAAGTAATTTTGAAACTTCAGTATATGGTAAGAGTTAGTTATGCAATATGTAATTCAGACAGAGTCTAATACACCCACATTAAGTCCATGGATGTAACATGCATTGCGGTGAAGTGACAACATTTTATGGAGTTCTTAACAGTATCTGCAAGATTGCATCTATTGTTCTCACATACAGACATACCTTTATCATTATCACCAGATGGGAGGCTTCCATCCTGAATTCTTAGAGTAACAGTTATTATTTTCCATAACCATTTTATTTCTGAATTTTCTGAAATGCCAATTTCTCTTCTCTTGAATGCTTCCTTCAATATTTGTTTGGAAAGCTTCTACCTTTCTAGGCTTTGGGTAATGGTCAGGATTTGTAAACAGCTAGCTCCTCCATTGTCAAGTAAAAACAATTGCTTTCAAATAAATTTACAGGAAAGTTTTGTGCCTTTTGCCACACTTGTGTGGCATCCGGGTAACCCGTGTATGCTGTAAGTATAACAGTTGGGGATACAAGTATCCTACTAGTAGAGTTGATGCAATAGAACCTTCTAGCTGCAGAGGAAAGAATTAGCTTTTGGGCTTTTGTAAAGTGCAATGTAGATATTTTCAGCTTTGAGCCAAGAAAGGATAGAAAGAAATATTGTATACTAGTTCAAAGACAGATAGAACTGCCTGGTCAGGTCAAGGATTGATAAACTGATAATTCAGTGGAGAGATGAAAATGGATTTTCAAGGGTTCAGAATTTGGAGTCCACAGAGAAATGGGATGAAAATCTCTTTCCCACCATCCAACTGAGTTGGATTAATGGTCTTATAATCCCCAGCCAAGAGACCAACACATTCAGAAGACTGAAGACTGAAGAACGTTGGATTGGAAGAAGAAACAGCCTGAAGAACAAGAAATAAGTCTAAAGTAAGGATGGATGTAGGGCATAAAAGATGAAGCCCAAGGATGGAGGAAACAGGAAGCCAAGGCAAGATTTGACATATAAATCACACTACTTATGTGTTATTTTGTTTTCAAGATCACCAATAACATGTGATGTACAAAAAATAATTAGTCCCTTTGAGAGTATTATAGTAAAGTTTCTTTGGCATGATGGGAGACTGATAGATCAAACCATGTGAGTAGGCATACTCCTCTATTTGTCGAGAAGAAACTCTGTTTTTTGGTACCTAGAGAACTGATTGAGAAATTACTGGCCAATAGTGCCCTTTATCTTTGAACTTCAGCTATCCCAGTTGGGACTGATGGGCATTGGACTCAACCTGTAAAAAAAAATCAACTTATCTTGTGTAAGTAGGTGCCTTCATTTTGTTTCCTCTCCTCCCCCCCCCCCACTTTTCTCACTTTTGGAAATGGCTTTTTAATTCTTCAGGATTTGGTCTTCTCCCTGAAAACTCTAGAATATTTATTTATTGAGCAAATTCATTTGGCCAACCATCTTCATTTGGTCTCAAACATGCATACTGTAGTTGCTGTGACTTTTCTGCACAATAGGCTTTTTAGTACCATTCAAGGTGCTGATTATCACCCATAAAACCCTTCATGGCAGAGAACCAGGTTACTTGTCTCTCTAGGTGTCTCTGCCTATGGCCACACAGAGTGGGTATATTTCAGGTCTCTTCTTGGGGCAATGCCATCTAATGGCACCTAGAAGATATGTCATCTCTGTTGCTGTACCGGTTCTTGGGAATTAGCTCCTCCCAAAGATGGATGATCCTGACTCTATTGGCCTTCTGTATAGCTGTAAAGGCTTGGCATTTCTCCCATGCACTGGACTGTGGCGGAAGATACCATAAACTAGTATAGCTGTTAGTTTAACAAGTCACAAAGACTTGTCTGATGACATCATAAGATCCAACTCTGTAACCATTCCTTGCATATATTAGAATCCTGAACATTCTAGTGTGTATGGAGATAGGATGGGGTTGGGTGGGGGTTTGTGATCCTTACTATGAGACTAGTAACTTGCACGCTTGTCCTGCTTTTTGTCTTTTAAATACTGCATGTCTTTATGAGCTGTAAATGACAACTTCCAAATTCTGTCCATGGTACTGATCCAACTGGTT